CTCACTCTGTCGCCCAGACTGGAGTGCAGTGGCCGCTCCCGGCCACCACAGCCTCGACCTGCTGGGCTCTGGCGATCCTTCCGCCTCAGCCTTCCAAGTACCTGGAACTACAGGCGCGTGCTACCACGCCCGGCTAATTTTTGATTTATTGTAGAGATGAGGTCCCACCAAGTTGTCCAGGCCGGTCTCAAACCCGCGGGCTCAGGCAATCCACTCACCTCAGCCTCCCAAAGGCACGGGATTACAGGCTGAGCCACCGAGCCCGGCTTATTTTTTCTTTTTTAAATTGGGGTAAAATATATATAACATAAAATGTGTCATTTTACTATCTCAAGTTTACAATTCAGTGTCATTACATACATTCACAATGTTGTACAATTATCACTACTATACAACTTCGGAACTTTTTCATCATCCCAAACTGAAACTCTGCACTCATTAAGCAATAACACTCTATTTACTCCCTCCCTGCAATCCCTGGTAATCTCTATAAAACTTTCTGTCTCTATGAATTTGTTTATTCTGGGTACCTTCTATAAGTGGAATCATACAATATTGGTCCTTCTATATCTGTCTTATTTCATTTAACATAATGTTTTCAATGTTGTAATGTCATCCATGTATCAGAATTTCATTCCTTTTTAAGACCAAGTAATACTCTGTTGTGTGTTATGATGAACACTTGATTTCCACCTTTTGGTTATTGCAAATAATGCTGCAATGAGCACTGGTGTACAAGTATCTGTTCCACGCCTGCTTTCAATTCTTTTAAGTATATACCTAGAAGTAGAATTGATCCACTATATGGTAATTCTATACTTAACTATTTTTTAAGGAACCACTAAGTTGTTTTTCACAGTTGAACCATTTTACATTCCCATGAGCAATTGGACAAGAATTCCAATTTTTCCACATCCTGGCTATTTTCTGTTTTTATTATAATAATGGCTTTCCTAATGGGTGTGAAGTGGTATTTCATTGTGTGCAATGTATTTTTAGTCTATTACTTGTTAATAGTATGAAGTCCACCTGGTATTGATTTCTGTAATTATGTGGTGCGGTCACTTGAGACACAAAAAACATTTAAATACCAATATAATAGAACCCAAGGTTGCAAAGATTTTAAGTCAACTTAATTTTGAAAAAGGTATCAAAAATGATAAAGAATGAACTGCTTTACTACTCATCTGGGCTAATTTCTTTCTTTCTTTTTTTTTTTTTTTTTTTGAGTCGGCATCTCACTCTGTCACCCAGGCTGGAGTGCAGTGGCATGCTGCTGGGCTCAGGTGATCCTTCCGCCTCAGCCTTACAAGTAGCTGGAACTACAGGAGCACATCACCTCGCCTGGCTAATTTTTTTTTTTTTATTGTAGAGATGAGGTCTCCCCAAGTTGCCCAGGCTGGTCTCTAATCCCCAGGCTCAGGCAATCCTTTCACCTCGGCCTCCCAAAGTGCTGGGATTACAGGCTAAGCCACTGCACTTGGCTAATTTCTAAAATACTAATGTTTTGTGTAGATAAAAATTGTCACAAAGCAGGTTACTGTTTTGAGATGACAGTGAAGCAAACCTAGAAGTCAATCCTGAAATAAAGTTTTTATTTTTATTTTTTTATTTTATTTATTTATTTATTATTATTATTATTTTTGAGTTGGCGTCTCATTCTGTCACCCAGACTGGAGTGCAGTGGCCGCTTCCGGTCACTGCAGCCTTGACCTGCTGAGCTCTGGGATCCTTCCGCCTCAGCCTTCCAAGTAGCCAGAATTACAGGAACGCGCTACCACGCCTGGCTAATTTTTTAATTTATTGTAGAGATGAGGTCTCACCCCGCAGGTGGGTCTCAAACCCGCAGCCTCAAGCAACCCACTCACCACGGCATCTCAAAGCGCAAGATTACAGGCTGAGCCACCGAGCCCAGCCGAAATAAAGATTTTTTTTTTTTTTTTTTTTGAGTTGGAATCTCACTCAGTCGCCCAGACTGGAGTGCAGTGGCCACTCCCGGCCACCGCAGCCTCGCCTGCTGGGCTCTGGCAATCTTCCGCCTCAGCCTTCCGAGTAGCCGGAATTACAGGCATGCGCTACCAGTCCCGGCTGACTTTTTTGATTTACTGTAGAGATGAGGTCTCGCTGCCCAGGTGGGTCTCGAACCCGCGGGCTCAGGCAATCCACTCACCTCAGCCTCCCAAAGGCATGGGATTATAGGCTGAGCCACCGAGCCCAGCTGAAATAAAGTTTTTAAAAACTCATTTATCCCCGGGAAATTGTGACTATCCTCATTTTATTTTATTTTTTTTCTTTTTTCTTTCTTTCTTCTTTTTTTTTTTTTTTTTTGAGTTTTTTTTTTGAGTTGGAGTCTCACTCTGTTGCCCAGACTGGAGTGCAGTGGCCCTTCCCGGCCACCGCAGCCCCGATCTGCTGGGCTCTGGCTATCCTTCAGCCTCAGCCTTCCAAGTAGCTGGAACTACAGGCGCCCACTACCACGCCTGGCTAGTTTTTGATATCCACTCACCTCAGCCTCCCAAGGCGCGGGATTACAGGCTGAGCCACCGAGCCCAGTGACTATCTTCATTTTAAAGATAAGAAAGTCTGAAATCAAACAAGTTTAACAACTTGTCCAAGACCACAAGCAGAGATTTGAAAAATAATTTCTGATATCCCAAAAGCCCATAATGTAAAAGTCAGGGGAAACCCAGAAGAGCAATTTCTACTCTTTTAGCATGAATAAACTTAGAGACACTGTCCCACAGTGTAAGCACTGAAGTTTACCACTTCCTACAGCAATAATCAGTAACTAACTCCTTGTCAGGTGAGACTCGAATATGGAGCCAGACCAGATTGAACTCAGTTTTTGTTCAACTCAGTTTTGTTTTGTTTTGTTTTGTTTGAGTTAGAGTCTCACTCTGTCACCCAGGCTGGAGTGCAGTGGCACAGTCACGACCACCACAGCCTCAACCTGTTGAGCTCAGGTGATCCTTCCACTTCAGCTTTGGAAGTAGCTGGAATTATAGGCACACGCCACAATGCTTGGCTAATTTTTTGACTTATTGTAGAGATGAGGTCTCCCCAAGTTGCCTGGGATGGTATCAAACCCAAGGGCTCAGACAATCCTCTCACCTCAGTCTCTCAAAGTGATAGGATTATAGGCGTGAGTCACCACACCTGACTTGCTTTTGTTTTTTTAAGTGTAATCTTTTTTTTTTTTTTTTTGAGTCAAGGTCTCACTCTGTTCAGGTTGGAGGGCAGTGGCAGGATCACGGCTCACCGCAGCCTCGACCTCCTGGGCTCAGGCAATCCTTCCACCTCAACCCCCCGAGAAGCTGGGACTATAGGTGCACACTACCAAGTCTGGCTAATTTTTTTTTTTTTTTTGAGTTGGAG